GCCCAATGAAGCTACTCTCCACTCCTGTGGAATGTACTGACTCTGGCACAGGCTCTCCCAACACCAGGCAGTGAGCTCCTCTCTAGGATGCACACATGCTCTCTTCCCCTTACCGAATGAAACGCTTAACAAAAGACGTTTGCTTTCTTCAAGCCTATTTCTGTAATTCAGACTGGTGATTATAATTACATTAAAACATCCATTCTCATGATGAAAGGGAAGATAACAGTGGCTTCTACAAACTTTTTAATGTTTTGGAAACAAGTGAAAGGTAAACTGTTAAAATGTGCCCTCAAATTACGTGTAGGTAAAAGATGTAATAAATAAATAAACTAGAGATTCGGAGAGGGGAACCCTTTAAAAAAAGCCCAAAATTCTGCACGCAGACTGCTTCACACTTGTCTAAACTGTCAGTGAAACTAAACTGCAGTTTATACAAGAAAGAGCATTTCCATCAGGGAGCTCAGAGTCCAGGCCCTTTGACTTACAACAAAGAATTTGTAAATGAAACACAGTCACATATCTTAAGAAGTAAAACCAGGTATATTTATAATTGTAAGTAGACAGTAAAATGTTTACAGAAGACTAGTACTTTTTTATGCATCACGAGTAAGTTTATGACCTAAGCAAGTGCACTGCACCTCACCTTAATCCCCTGACAAAGGATGGGCTGATCACATTAAATCCCATCCTGAGGATAATTACATGATTACAAGGAATACTAGATTACATCATTACATATCTGCCACTGTGGGGATCATAAACCCAAGAGGCAGTTGTTCCAACAGGACAAGCGAATAGTGCCTGGTTTAAAACCAGGAAAGGTGTCCATCCAGGTTGTATTCTTTCATCCTATTTATTCCACCTGCACACTCGGTAAATACCCACGGTGCCGGCCTACATGAAGAAGAACGTGGTGTCAGGTTGGAGGAAGACTCATGAACAACCTTCTACATGGACTCTGCACAACCTTGATTGCAGAATGTAAAGAGGACTTGAAGCGTTTGCTGAGGAAGATCAAAGACGGCAGCCTTCGGTATGGATTCATCTCAATATAAAGAAAACCAAAGTCCTCAAAACTGGGCCCATGAACAGCATCAGGATAAATGGCGAGAAAGTGGCTAAGAAATTCATTTTGCCTGAATCCAGAATGAACACCCACGGAAAGAGCAGCAAGAAATCAGCTGACAAGTCTTCTGCAAAAACTCTCTTAAAGTGTTGACAAGCAAAGATGT